AGAAATCAAACACCCATGTTCTACCTACGCAGTGAAGCGCCCACTCTCGCCATTCAACACCCTTTTGGCCAAACTAAGGGGTAGGTCAAAGACCAGACCAGACCAGACCAGACCAGACCAGACCAGACCAGACCAGACCAGACGAGATGAAACCAGACCAGACCAGACAAGACCTGAGCAGATCCAACCAGGCTTAAACCAAACCAAGCGGAACAAACCAAGGTACGTCAACAGACATAAAGGAAATCAAACCCGATTAAAGTCACAACGAGATTAAACCAAACGAGATCAAACCAGACCAGATACAGAACCAGATCAAACCAGACCTAATACCCGGCCAAAACAGACCTAGGCCGATCAAAACAGACCTGATAGAAATTTTAACACCCTTTTTTTTATCCTGCAGGAGGAGGAGATCCTGTTTTATTTCAACATCTGTTTTGGTTCTTTGGTCGGGATGGCCACCTCCTTAGAGAGTGATCTCTAAATACAAACGTTGCCGTTTGCTGGAACAACTACCATACACTCTTGTTCGTACTGTTTTTTTTTTTCTTGCTCCGAACCTGGTCCAGTGAAAATTTTAAGTGCTTGTTCCTAACCTGGTCCAGTGAAAATTGTATACGCAATGTTCGATCGGCAGGAAACCACAACAAAGTACGGCCGCTCGCCCGGCCTCTTATAAGGTCCGTCGCTATCGAAAGAAATTTGCCTCACATTGGTCGGCCCTTTCCTTCGGCCCTCTTCTATCCAATGTGCTACTACTCCATAGCATATCTTCCATCGAAAGTCTTTTTTTATAGTCTTTTTTTTTTTTTTTTTTTCTTACTCCATAGCATATCTTCCATCGAAAGAGTCTTTTGAAACGCAGATCCATTGGATCTGATCAAGTCTTCCGTAATTGCATCTGATGATTCTGATCAAGTCTTCCATAACTGGATCTGATCAAGTCTTCCATAGGATTGGCCGGTTGCCCCTTTTTTTGTCGTTTGAAGAGCGGAAGCTCTTTGAGATGGATGGATGGATGGATGGATGGTGTTAGTTTTTGTCAAATGCTCAAGCAGCTGCTACTTTCGCTTCACATAAATTGTGTTTGTCCACCAAGTCCTTGAATGGAATTGAGGGAAATTTCAAATTTGCCTCACATAAATATTAAATATGCTTTCAAAGCTTAACAAATTGTGATTGTCCACCATGTGCCTAATCCACGTTCGCTATGACTAAAGAAGCTTTGAAAACATATATATGCAAATTTCCCTAAGCTTCGCCCTTTTTTGTTTTGTTTTGTTTTCCTTTTTGCAGTTATCAAATTTGGTGTTTTGTGATTCCTACCCAAGAGAGTTGATTTTGTGCCGTCCATTTCAAACCAGACCAAACCAGATCAAACCAAACTAAACAAAGCCAAACCAGATCAAACCAGACCAGACAAAAGCAAACAAAGCCAAACCAGATCAAACCAGACCAAACTAAACAAAGCCAAACCAGATCAAACCAGACCAGACAAAATCAAACCAAGCCAAACCAGATCAAACCAGACCAAAGTAAACAAAGCCTAACCAGATAAAACCAGACCAGACAAAATCAAACCAAGCCAA